TAAATCATTACAGAGTGATAGCGCTTTATTTTCTGAAGGTGACAATATTTAAATAGAATCTTTTTATAAGAGTTATCTTTTTTTGTGGATACAAAAAGGTGACAATATTTAATTCTAAATTATTTTGGTTTCTTTCTTGTGTGGGTGCAACATGAGATCTGGAAACTCATAGTTTTTTCTTTATAGAGTAATGTTCTATCACATGTTCCTATAAATTAAAAAAAAAAAGAAAAAATACTAATACAACTACTTTCTTTGAACAGTAGCAGTAATTTAATCACCTAGTTACACATATCACATTGTGAGTTTGTAGTAAATTTTATAACTACACAAGTGAATTTACAAAAGAATATTGAAGTGCTGATTTATTTTATGTTAAAAACAAAAAGACAAATATACTGAAATGTGTTTTTTTTTACATCTTATTGACTTACAAGGGGATATGCCTTCCCTTCATGGTTTTTTTTTATGCCCTAAGGAAGCATGTGCACATGCGTATGAAGAATCTCTTACTGAGATCAGCATGCGCACCTCATAACGTGAGACATAACGTGGGACGTTATCCTGCATGGATGGGAAAGCTGACAGTATTTTATCCAAGGGTGAAAAAACAGCTGTCAGATTTTCATTTCCCCATTCAGATATAACCATTCTAGTCGGCTTACTCATCTACTGCAAGTTGTAGATCTAAAGACCTCAGGTGCTGCAGACCTTATTTACTTTTGGCCAATAGATTTATAAATGGATGTTGTTTGATTGTACATTTCTCTCTGTAAGTTTGGTAGACATTCTAATTGCTATATTTGAGTCATTCTCTTAAAGGGACACTCCATTGCCCAAATCCAAAATAAATAAAATCACTCTTTAGTAGATATACCCCCAATTAAAACATGCATGCATTTAATTATGCATTTTGTTTACTGTGGGTGTATCTGAAAACAGCTCGCAAAAACTGCAGATTTTTTGCCTGAAGCGTTTGCAAGCCCTCCCCTTCTAACGCCGTCCAGACTTTCTGTCCAATCACAGACTTTCCAATGCCACTCAATGAGAAGTGTTTGCAAGGCCAGTGGTCTGAGCCATTGCTGCCTCTTGTGTTTAACTCAACTGAGCTACATAAATCAGGAAGTAAAAGAACCAGTTTTCTGATCGACAACCATTAGGTTAATTTATAAAAGTGCCTGTTTCTATTGAAATCTAAGCTTTTGGAAAATGAAAAAAGAGGACAGTCTTTACACATAAAGCACTTTAGCAAGAAAGGGTGTCCCTTTAATTCACTTAAAGATGAGTATTATGGAGACTTTACATTTATTATTTATTTATAATATTGGTTTTCTCTTCCAATTCTAATTATATAATTTCCTATTGTGTTTTGTTGGCTCACCATATAGTGTGGAAGATTATTATTTATAAATTGCCAAAATATTTATCGATACGGTACAATAAATACGTGATGTACACAGATAAATTCTACAAGACAAGTTTAACATGAACAAGAGATCCTGAATACCCTATTAGAGTGAAGACAAAGGGGAGATGATGTAGAACAGTGGTAGGAAATCTTTGTCTCTCCAGATGATTCAAACTACATCTCCCATGATGCTTTGCCAGCATTATGCCTGCACGGGCATTACGGGATATGTAGTCCAAAATATATTGAGTACCGGAGGTTTCCTATCCCTACTCTAAAAGAAAGAATTTAATTCATGATAGGAATACAGTGCAACATTAGTTGCAGGGACATAAGCCTCATACCCCTTTATACCGATCTTGATCACATTATTTAAAGGGACACCAAAAGAACTTTGGCTTAATGAAGCCGTTTTAGTGTATAGATCATGTCCCTGCAATCTCAATGTTCAATTCTCTGCCAATTAGCAGTTAAATCACTTTTGTTTCTGTTTATGCAGCCTTAGTCACACCTCCCCTGGCTGTGACTCACACAGCCTGCATGGAAAAAAAAAATTGTTTAATTTTCAATCAGATGTAACTTACTTTGAAAGTTTTTATCTCCTGCTCTGTTAATTGAACTTAACTCAAATCACACATAGTAGGCTCCTGTAGGGTCTAGCAGGCTATCACCAGAGCAAGAGATAATAAATTATAAGTAGAGTTGAGCGAACCCGGACTGTAAAGTTTGGGTTCGTACCGAACATTAAATTTTTTGGACCCCAGACCCGAACAAGGATATATCACTGTATGTTCGGGTTGGAGTTCGGTGTTCGGCGATTTAATGACACATTTTGAAAGGCTGCAGGGCAGCCAATCAACAAGCGTTTGACTCGTTTGCCCTTAGAAGCCATCACAGCCATGCCTACTAATGGCATGGTTGGGACTGGCCAGTGGAGCATGTGATGCACCCTCTATATAAGCTGGTTACTTAGTATTATCAAATTATGCCCCTACTCGCTATACCGCATTAAACAGTGAGAAGCCTGTGTTTTTTGTTTTGTGAAATCAAAACATTCCCCCCTCCTGAGCCCCCACCCACGACGTGCGAGTGGGGGCTTTTAAACTAAAGAGGGGACCTGGGGGCCATAAATACCAATAAGGGGGAGGACCTATTGTTCCCCCCCGCCCCCACCCCTGAGTGGTGGGTGGGGGCCCTAAATATTAATAAGGGGGGGGACCTATTGTTCTCTCCCCTGGCCCCCATCCCTGCGCGGCCCTATATAAAAATGTAACCCCCCCCAGGTGACTAGGGGTCCCCAAACCCCTAGTCACCCCCCCAAAAAAATAACCCCTACCTACTCCCCTTATCCTAAATATAATGAGGGGGGACCCTTATCTAAATACCTGTAAAAGAAAAAAATAGACTTACCATTTGATGTCTTCTTTCTTCTAAACTCTTCTTTTTTCAGCCTCAAAAAAGGCCAAATAAAAATCCATAATAACCGACGCACTTAAAAAAAAAAAAAAAAAACGAGCGCCAAAAAAACTGAGCTCTGCAGGACGGGGTAAGGCTTATAAAGCCTTGCCCCGCCCTGCAATTAGGCTCAGAGCACTCCTATTGGTGGGGTTAAGCCATCCAATTAGGGTGCTCTAACAGGTAAATGAAGAGACTGACAGGTAAGTCTCTACATTTACCTGTCACAGCACTCTGATTGGTTGGCTTGAAATCCACCAATCAGAGTGCTCTGTGTCATTTTACACAGCATGGGAAAGTTCTTTGGAATTTTCCCACACTGTGTAAAATGACACAGAGCACTCTGATTGGTGGATTAAGTAACCAATCAGAGTGTTATGAGTCAAATTACACAGCGTGGGAAAATTCCAAAGAACTTTCCTACGCTGTGTAAAATGAAACAGAGCACTCTGATTGGTTAGCTTGAAATCCAGCCAATCAGAGTGTTCTGTGTCATTTTACACAGTGTGGGAAAGTTCTTTGGAATTTTCCCACACTGTGTAAAATGACGCAGAGCACTCTGATTGGTGGATTAAGTAACCAATCAGAGTGTTATGAGTCAAATTACACAGCGTGGGAAAATTCCAAAGAACTTTCCTACACTGTGTAAAATGAAACAGAGCACTCTGATTGGTGGATTTCAAGCCAACCAATCAGAGTGCTGTAACAGGTAAATGTAGAGACTTGCCTGTCAGTCTTCATTTACCTGTTAGAGCACTCTGATTGGATGGCTTAAACCCACCAATCAGAGTGCTCTGAGCCTAATTGCAGGGCGGGGCAAGGCTTTATTAGCCATCCCCTGCCCTGCAGAGCTCAGTCTGCACGGAGCCCTCCATGGGTGAAAATGGATTTATTTTTTTTGCACTCGTTTTTTTGGGGGCGTCGGTTATTCTGGATTTTTATTTGGCCTTTTTTGGGGCTGAAAAAAGAAGAGTTTAGAAGAAAGAAGACATCAAATCATAGGTCTATTTTTTTTATTTATTTTTTTACAGGTATTTAGATAAGGGTCCCCCCCTCATTATTTTTAGGATGAGGGGGGTATGAAGGGGTTATTTTTTTGGGGGGGAGGTTGTGACTAGGGGTTTGGGGACCCCTAGTCACTTGGGAGGGTTTAAATTTTAATTTAGGGCCCCCACCCACCGCTCATGGGGTGGAGGCCGGGGGGAAGGACAGTAGATCCCCCCCATTTATTGTTATTTAGGGCCTCCACCGGCCGCGCAGGGGTTGGGGCCGGGGGGAGGACAGTAGGTCCCCCCCCTTATTGTTTTTTATGGTCCCCACCCGCCGCACAGGGATGGGGGCCGGGGAGGAGGACAGTAGGTCCCACCCGTCGCACAAGGGTGGGGGCAATAAGTTTTTGGGTTTTTTTTTACAGTGAGCAGCCACTGGCTGCTCACTGTTTACTAGACACACCCCTACTTGCGGTATAGTGAGTAGGGGCTGAATTTGCTAATACTAAGTAAACCAATTTAGGTCTTTCAGCCTTTTAGTAGATAGCTCCCTAATACCGTGGGAATTAGGGAGTTATCTACTAAGCGGCTGCTTATTTTATGTATTTTATGTTATTTTAAGTGAGTTCCCTATCCACATTTGTTTGCAGGGCACATATCCTACTCTTACCCCCATTTTACTTCCTTTTGCAGCCCTCTAGCCCTTTCAATTACTTTTAAGAGGCATTTTTGTGTCAAAAAGTTCGGGTCCCCATTGACTTCAATAGGGTTTGGGGTCAAGTTCGGGGTCAAGTTCGATCCTGAACCCGGATTTTTTTCAAAGTTCGGCCGAACCCGCCGGACCCGAACATCCAGGTGTCCGCTCAATTCTAATTATAAGCTAAACAGTACTTGAAATAAAGGAAGTATAAACATTAGATGACTCTTTACAGGAAGTGTTTAGGAAGGATGTGCAAGTCACATGCAGGAAGGTGTGACTTGGGCTGTATAAACAATGTGATTTAACTCCTAATTGGCAGAGAATTCAGCAGAGAGACTGCTGGGACATGCTCTATACACCAAAACTGATTAATTAAGTTAAAGTTGTTTTGATGACTATAGTGTCCCTTTAAAGATTCTTTGATTTTTCTTATAATGTTCTTTATTGCAGGAGGTCCTGCTGGCAGAGGTTGTCTGCCAGCATAAAGAACTACGTCTGAAGAGTACAGTCATGGACAATGTGGAATATGATAAACAGATTACCGAGAATATCCTTCTGGTACCAATAAAATGCGAGATCAATCCCAGTGAAAGTAATTCTGACTGTAATTCTCAGTCAATGAGAACAGACAAGAATGATTATAACGAACATGGAAAGGCCTTTGAAAAGATTAAAGTTAGAGGAGAAACACAGGTTTCTTCAGAGTTTGCTGCTGCTGCAAATGCAGAATGTGATTCAGGGCAGTTGCCAGACAAGCAAAATTCATCCTGTAGTAATATCCACAAATGTGGAGTTTGCGGGAAGGAGTTTTCCCGAAAGTCAGACTTTACGGTCCACCAACGTATACATACAGGTGAAAGGCCATACAAATGTTCATATTGCACCAAGGGTTTCTGTCAGGCTTCCATGGTCCGTAGACATGAGAGGACACATACAGGGGAAAAACCCTATCAATGTACAGACTGTAACAAGTCCTTTTCTCGTTCAACATCTCTCTTGATCCACAGGAGTAAGCATACAGGAGAAAAGTCATACCAATGTGATTGTGGAAAGACATTTAGCAGTAGAATACTTCTTCAAAGGCATCGCCATACCCATATGTTTGACCCACACCATTGCAAGATTTGTGGGGAAGTATTCAAGAACCAGTTGGATCTTCAGGTGCATAAAAGCAGCCAGCATCCCGAAAAGTACTACAATTGCTCCCAGTGTGGAAAATGTTTTACTCGCCTGCACTTACTTAAAAACCACCTAAAGAGCCATGTAGAGATTCATCCTAAGAAAAACACAAAGATAGCCAAGAAAACATCTAGTGACCTATCAGAAAAACCTCACAAAAAATTAGATGGTAAACAACCCAAACCTGCAGACATAAAAGTTACTATGAAGAACCCTACAGCCCTTGTAAGAACTGAAACATGTCCCTCGGTCTGTCCAGAATGTGGTAAGACGTTCACCAACCCTACTGCATTGCACAAACACCAGCTAATCCATAAGCAAGGATCTCTCATATGTGCAGAGTGTGGGAAGACTTTTGTTCGAAAGTCTGACTTGACTGTACATTTACGGATACATTCGGGGGAAAGACCATACAAGTGCTCATACTGTGGAAAGGGATTTTGTCAGACATCTATGTTAAGACGTCATGAAAGAACACACACAGGGGAAAAGCCATATCAGTGTTCAGACTGTGATAAATCTTTCTCTCGTGCTACGTCTTTGCTTATTCACAGGAGTTCCCACATCAAAGACAAGCCATTTAGGTGCAAGTCTTGTGACTCAACTTTCTCCAACACCACTCAGCTACGCCAGCATACCAAGACACACAGATTTTCTTCACCCCCACAGAGTGATATGTGCAACAAATGCAGAGATGGGATGTATGTCTGCAACATGCATTGCTCTGTTAAAACCAGCGAAGACCCCTTCCTTTGCTCTGACTGTGGGAGAACTTTCAGCAGTGACTCAGGTCTCCAGAGGCACTTGCTTACACATGTACAGCAGCCATTTCCTTGTAAGGTCTGCAGTGAAGTCTTCAATAGCCGCTTTGATTTTCGGATACACCAACGCAGTCATCCACCAGATAGACCATTCATTTGCGCCCAGTGTGGTAAATGCTTTCCCCGTCTTAATCTTCTTCGCATCCACCAGAATACTCACACAGGTTACCGACCCTATGAATGTTCACTTTGCAAAAAGACATTTTCAGACCCATCCACTCTGAGACAGCACCGCCAGAGACATCGAGGAGTGAAATTCTCTCCATGTAAAGAGAAGCATAGTGAAACACTACAGGAGAACGTTAAGCCTCCTGTGCTCATTGAAGAATGTCACTCAATATGTCCTGAGTGTGGAAAAGCATTAAACAGCCCTACCGCTCTTCAGAAACACCAGCAATCTCATGAGAAAGAGTTACTTCTCTGTGCAGAGTGCGGCAAAAACTTTGCTAGAAAGTCAGACTTAACCGTGCACTTGAGAATACATACAGGTGAGAGGCCCTATAAGTGCTCATATTGTGGGAAAGGTTTCTGTCAGGCCTCCATGGCACGCCGGCATGAAAGGACCCACACAGGCGAGAAACCTTACCAGTGCTCAGACTGTGATAAATGCTTCTCGCGCTCCTCTTCCCTTCTAATCCACAGGACCAAACATATAGATGAGAAACCATTCAAATGTGTTTCTTGTGATCAAACCTTCTCCAATCCAAGCCAGCTGCGCATGCACTCTAAGATTCATGATGAGAACCCAAGTGTTAATGAACCAAAGTAAAAAGCTCTGTAAAAAAAAGCGAAACACAAAATCACTTTATAGTGCTGCTGAATGCAAATATCTGCAATGTCAGTTTAATGTAGATCATCCTTCTATAAGCAGAAAAATGACATGGTACCAATACAGTATAAATTATACAGTTTTACCTATTCATTGTGTCTACAAGTACACATGTTAAAAGCTATATATACCTGAAGTTGTGCATTTTACATAATTGAAGAATAACTAGAATTGCATTTTGGGACTGCTCACAAGCATCGTGCCTACTTCTGGCATAGATGTAGCATAAAGAGGGATTGCTAGGTTCTTAAACCTCCCCACCTTCTCTAAAACCCTTTGTGTCTCTCTCCCCAGTTCCCTAAATCCTCTTTTGTTTCTTTCCCCTAAATCCTCTTTTGTTTCTTTCCCCACTCCCCTAAATTCCCCTATGTCTTACACCCTATATGACCTAAGCCCTACTGCTACTTGACTCTAGCAGTAGAAGGACCGTGTCAAGACCTGTTCCATTCTGCGGATATGTCTGGCCTTAGCTTCTGTTATCCAGTACTCTTTTTACAATTCTTGTTTAGTTTTTCTTGGTTTTTCTGGTTTTCTATTCTATGTCTGGTTATCTTTATGCTGGGTTTTCTCGGTTCATTCCTTTATTCCGTTCCTGGAATTCCCAGTCTCCTGGATTCCTTTAAATGTTTGTTTTTTGTTGCCACACCCGTTCCTTTGCCATTAATCCTTTTTGTTTCAGTCTGTTCCTGCAGGCAGTGGTTTAACTTCCTCTTCTCCTTTATTTGCAGGTAAGTATTGTTTGTGTTTTAATGTTGTTTATTTAGTCATGCATATCTAGGCAGTTAGGACCCACCGTAATTGGAGTACTTTGGCGCAGTGGTGGTCTGCATTCATCTTGGCCATTTATGTATGTCTAAATCTCCAATGTTTATTACATATATAGTACTTAGTTATGTATCCTCTTGTTTTGCCATGTATATCTTGTCTTGTTTTATTTCGTCTTGTAGTCCCAGTTCATGTACAGTCCTGTCCTGCCCTGTTTATGTTTCTCTCATGTCTTATGTACATGTTTTGGGTTCTGCTTTCTGCCCTTCTCCGGTTCTGGGTACTTCTAGTCTTGTATTATTTTCTTGTTTGGTGCCTGTTCTAGTCTTGCCTTGTTTCTAGTACTGGATACATCTCAGCATATCATCTGCTTAATATCAGCTCCTGGCATCCGCTAAGCTTCTTCTGGGCTCTGGTATGTGGCCACACAAACCTTGATGCTCAACACCAGGGGGCGTGTGTTTACCCTGCACCAGACCCTGATTGTCCACTTCCACGCTGAGACTCCTATCTTTATCATCAGTCATTCAGGGGTCCCGGTATTGAACCGCCACCTGTGACAGTCCGACAGAAATCTGCTAAAGTTCTGCTATTTTGATTTGACTAGCCTATATCTAGTATAAAATGATAAATGCACTTGTATTTTGCCGCCTAAAGAGATCTGGGAATGAAGATCCCCACATCTGCGGTTTAGCCCCTAAAGCATCCTCATAACAATGCATATTGTAGTATACATCTCAATGGTGATGACAAAGATATATATCTGCAAGCTTCAGTTTACTGTGATAGGCATACAGTCAAAATAATCATGGCATAGTGTAATAAAACAAATTATACTAATACTTGCATTAGAAACCTCTTTAATGTCCATTATGGGCCACATTTATATCTTAGAGAAAAACACACAAACTAGATGTAAGAACACAAAATTGCTCGAATGATCTGATAAATTTAGCACTCATATTTTTAAGAGATCTAACTCAGCTCTTTGATGACACAAAACCAATGTGCTAAACATTTATTATCATACAATTGTCATTTTTAGCTTACTTTACCATGAGTGAATAAATCTATTGAACATCATCACTCTCTGATAGGGGTAGCATGAAAATCGATCTGTTTGAAGTTACTTTAATGGTGAGATACATATACAATTCTTTAGGGTCCATTATTTTGTGCTATAAATATGTTCTATATAATTTGTACTGTTTTTGTGTGTTTTTTTTATATGGCCTATCAAGATATCAAAAGTTCCTGGTATAAGAATTAAAGTATATATTTTTTTGTTTTAGAGTAGACCATGCGCACTACTTTTTATGTTTTTTTTAAATATAAGATTTATTTTATTGGTTTTCATACTTTTATTTTTGCTTTTTTTTTTTTATTTATTTTAAATTAGAATCGTTTATAAACAACACTGACTGCACTGTTTTTCATTTGCTGTATTTATGTATATTATGCTAAGATAAATTATTTTACTTATAAATTACCAAAATTATTTCTTGCTTACAATTGCATTTATAAGAAGTGGTTTATTTTTTTTGTACATTTCACTAATTTTGCACAATATTAATTTAAAGGGAAACATTGCTATTTCCCAGCTCTCTTGGACCAAACAGGTTAACCCCATTTTACTTAGAATTGAGTATAAACATTTTTACTTTCATGTACTTTGCAGAACAAAATTTAGTAAATATAGTTAACCTCATTTATATTCTAGGAATGATTACCTGAACAAATGTATCTACCAGAAGCCACTAGTCATTCATTTAATACCATCGGACTGGCCAAAGGGCAAACTGGGCAAATGCCTGGTGTCCTGCAATGGCCATTGGCTGAGCCCAACAGAGATTAGATGATCCAAGCACCGGCCTTGCTCTGCGCCTTCACAGGCTGTTGTGGAGATCAAAGATCTCCCTCACCAGGCCACAGGCATTTCAATCTGATAGAGGAAAGGAGAGGGAGAAGAAGAACCAGAGGTCTAGCCTTCAGCTCCACGGGGAATGTTCTTCTCGCGAGCTTGGAGTGGGGGTGCAGTTACCATGGCAATGCTCCGACACTGTTGGATCTTGCAAGAGGAGTGCACTCTAGCCGGAGGAGCTGCAGGCTAGAGTTTACTTTGTACCACCGGAGCACCAGGGTTTACAACGTTCCTCTCCTGGCCAGAGGTAAGAAGTGAAGGGGGGTATAAAGTTTATTTTTTTATTTATATAAAATAAATTTTTTGTTTTAAATATTTTTATTGGTTCAGTGAAAAAGCAGTCCTCCCACGCAGGGGAGGTAAACAAACCGTAATAAACATACTTCATAGGCATATGCCACAAAGTACATTATATATCAAATTAGAACAGTCAATGCCTAGTAAGGTGAAAAGGTTAAAGTATTTGAACATAAGTAACATACCAAAGGTTAGGCAAATGACATATTGCACATCAGTTCCGACATTAGTAATAATAAGCCATTCTCAGTATCCTATTGTTCAGTCGGCATATGTTAGCAGTAAAAGTTGGAGCTAAATCTGAACTGAAGTATATGCACTGTTGTCTACGCTGAGTTATAACAGGTAAAGCTAAAGCAAGTTAATTAACGTTTTATGTCTGTTCTTGACTTTGTTTGACTAAGCAATGCGCCGCAACCCAATAGTAAGTCCACATCTGTTGGCAGGGGGGAGTTAAACTATGGCATAACAAAAGGGCACACCATTAAACTATGACTGAACATATAGTAATGTATTTGATAACTGAGCCTAGCTAAAGAAGTAGATTTCAGCTCAGTAAGGCTCCCATTAAATGTATGGTCGGGCTTTAAAGCAGTTTAACCCCTAGTAATTGCTGTCAATAAAGCAAAGTCCTGACTATATAGTGTAATGTTAAGCACATGCGGCCAGAATGTTATATAGTAATCAGGCAATGTAAGTCAGCGATAAATCTGAGCTATTGGCATTATAACAGCGCCTAATAAGGCCCTGGCATGTAGGTCAGTAACATATCCCATGTTTGGACCTGCCCCGGCTAGGCCTCACCAAACTCATAAAATGAAAAAGAAAATATAAAAGAAATTAAATAAAAGTAAGCCTTCATACGCTGCTGAATTTTTTTAAATTTGTTTTTAGCAAATATCAGAGAAAAAGTTAATCTTTTGCTTTTAGATATTAAATTGACATTTTGGTGCGTAATTTAAGTAAGCGGACTTTCAGAATATATCATGTAACAATTAAATAATGTGAGCTTAAGAGCTTAATTGGTTGCCGTATAACTGCCTCTCATCACGTTTAAACAGGTTAGTATGTTGCAGGTCTTTAATTCATGCCCTCAGGTAAGCGGTAAGTGGTGTCCCTAAGATAAGGCCCACAAAATATATATACTCAAGATAACAAACATATCTAGAAAATAAGCAAAGAACAGTTAAACTGTAAACTAAATCTTAGCCAATGTACGTGTGCTGTTGCCTTGACAGGTCATAGTGAGTTGTGGGAGAGGCATGTAATATAAATGAATGTGTAAAAAATAATAGTGAAAACTTTATAACTTTTAGCAATAAAGGAGCAAGGCTGGCCTTAGTATCAGTTCAGTGATGGCCTCTTTTGGCACAACTGCCGTGTATTTCCCGGGTCTCCATCTATCCTCCCCACAGCAACCCCAGCCCATCGCCAGAGTCCTCCGTGGCTTTGTGGGCACTCGGGAGCAGAGGCAGTCCATACGACTCCCACACCTTGAGCCAACGGGCCTCCCTCTCCCTGCACCACCCCATCACTACCCAAGACTCGGGGGAGCGCGTGACCTGACGTCTCTCCCGGTGCCGGCCTCATACTTGGAGCCGGTGCGCGCCACCTCCGGCCACCGGTCCGCTGGAGGGGTCGCGCTGGCCCACCCCACCGGGCTCACGGCATCAGGGACTTGGCACTCTGGGGTCCCCACAGACCCAGAGGCCTGGGCACTCACTTTCTCAGCGGGCAGTCACCGCGGGGGATCCATCCAGCGCTCGGCTGCACCCATGTCCGCTCGGGCCGTCCAGATCAGCCCCCCATGTTTAGTGTTCTTCACAGCTGCTCCTTTTCTGGTGTTGCACATGTGCCTTTGATGAGTGTGCTTGCAGGTAGTGGGGCGCAGCCTCGTCCAGTCCTTAGCCTCTGTAGAAGCTCAAGCTTTTTTTTTTTTTAAATCCTAATCAGGGTGCTACCTCGGGAGGGTATATCTTCCGTGGAATCACAGTTTCCAGTGGTCTGGGGCGATTTTTAGTGCCTTTTTCGCTTGCTTAGCTCTGGAGCCCATGTAGATGGCGTCCAGTTGACCCGGCGGCCCGGTCCCGCCCCTAAAATACATTTTTTTACAATGTATGTTTGCTCGTATTTCACCCCCCAAACACAATATAGGACTTTTACCACTCAGCACTTTCTAAAATTGCACTGCACACACACACACACACATTGCACCCCTGACACATCCTGGATCTACTATACACAAACTGGATTCCCTATAGATAAACACACTCTACATTCCCTAAATACACACTATCTACAGCCCCTACACACTACATCACCTGTACACAGATACACTTCAGCCCCTGTACACACTATGCCACGTATACTCACTCCCTACAGTCCCTAGTCATACATTACACCACAAACGCATCACAACTGAAAGTCACCTATATACACAAAACACCACACCACAATCAGCTCACGCTATACACACAATCCCACAAGCAGGCTCCAAACACATGCAAAATACACTTTCCTGGCACTTTTGTCTCTGGTATCCCACCAGAAACAAGTCCCAAGCAAATGCTGCACAAGCTTGTCATTAAATTTGCTTGTGGTGCAAAGAACAAATACAGGGCCTTTGAATATGCGAAAGCTCTTCAGCTGGGCTTTGCGCATGGGCTGCCCTGAAAGAACATTGAACCTAAAGGTTTGGATTAAAAGGGAGGGTGTGCTTGTCATTGTTGCATTTTGTGGCACAGTCCCCTTCTCACTGGCACACTGTGCTATAAAAATGCCTGGGCTGAATTTTGTTTCCAGTCTGGTCCTGCCTGCAGATGTTCTGAAAGTGTCACCAACTCCCCTTGTTCCAAACAGTAAAAGAAGCTACAATGGGTGTTATTATTCCTGCCATTTTGGCATTTGGGGGTGGAGGTGAATGGGCTATTCCATTCACTGTTTTTCCATTACATTAGCATTGCACAGAGTCATAAGGATTGCAATAGCTCTTTTCAAATACAGTTATTTTAGAAAAAGATATGACATTACTGTGTTTACTGTATGTATACTTTTTACATTCTGTTGTCATTTTCAGTTAGCTGTACTGTTAGTAATACTTTCAGGGTCCTTAAAAATACCCATACATCCCAAGTTTCCCCTTTTAGGAGGGAAAGTCCTATTTTGGGCCAAAACCCATTGTCCCTCTTTTTTAGGAACTTCATATTGTTGGTGTGTCTTGTAGTATAACTGAGCTCCACAACAATAATATTAAATTTAAACTACAATAAATGTATTAAGAAATCAGTCTGTTTAAATAAGATACATTTTTCTTATTATAAATTATATTTGAGTTACATAAATTGTTATTAATAATTCTAAAATTTCTCAGAGCAGCCCTGCCCCTGGCTGCACCACCACTCACACCCACAAAATGAAAGTGTTCCTCTTTGTCCTTTTGAAATGTTGGGAGGTATGCAAATACCTATAAACAGACTAGTTTTATTTTTCTATATTTGTCATACCTGCTGTATATGAGAAAAATATTATTTTTGCCTACATTCCATTTCAAACATGGTGTGAAATATTGCAAAATTAAGAACACTTTATACTGTCTAAAACTTTCATTCCCCAAAAGATTGCCATAAAGGATGAATGAACAAATGAAAAATAAAAATTGCAGAGATTTACACAATTGTAATTTTTAAGTTTGTTTGAAAATAATGTTTTACTTATGAGCTAGCGATGCATCCATTGTTTCAAGAAAATATTTAGCGAAAAGGTTTTAAAAAAAAAAGTGCCTGTCTCTAAAGGAGATAAGTGACTCGTGTTTAGAAAGAAAACAATGTAGCTGTTGTCAGAAAATACAAACTGCACTTTATGGATAATAAACTTTTACACAAAGGTTCACTAAGCATTGTAAATAACCATACTGCTACTGAAATCAGCTACACTTGTTAGCCAGTTTAATATTGATATTTATGATCACTTGTCACAGGAAGACTTCCAGGTTTAACTGAGCACAGCCAATGGATTTATTTTTCTAGCTTAAATACTAAGAAATCATGATGCCATGAAAATATCAGGCGTACATTTGTGAATTATAGCTACAAACAGAGGCATTCCATCACTGTTCCAAGCTAAAAGCGGTCAAATATATAGAAATAATGCATACTCACTCTTGTCCTTGTACAGAATTAAGAAAGACCTTACAGGTCTCTGTTGTCATATGTGTGGTCATAGAGGTACATTCCTCCATATCTGGTTGGACTTCCAAAGATACAAGGGGTCTGGAAGGATATCAGAGATCTAGCATCAAATGTACTCCAGAGACCTTTTGATTTTGACCCTTGAGCATTTCTACTTTTTTGCCCTATTGAAAGTCTGTCAAGTTATGCTCAAAAACTATTTAATAGTAGAAATAATCCAGGCACTCCAATAGATTCCAAATTTCAAGGCAATTTATTCGAACCAGGAACTACAAAGCAACGTTTCAGCCCTAACAGAGCTTTTTTCAAGCTTGAAAAAAGCCCTGTTAGGGCTGAAACGTTGCTTTGTAGTTCCTGGTTCGAATAAATTGCCTTGAAATTTGGAATCTATTGGAGTGCCTGGATTATTTCTACTATTGCCTTTATTGGTCCTGCCTGGGTACTGGGACTTTCCAAGAAGCACCCTGGAGTCCATAGTGAGGGGTAGAGTGCGCTTCCAATCTTGTTTACAAAAACTATTTAATATGATAACCTTGTCAGCTAGGAGAGTTTTGGCAGCTAGATGGCCGAATGTTGAGATACCTCCTCTGCAGGACATCATAACAAAAATTGAGAAGAACCTTTTAATGGACGAATTAAGCTCCAAGGTAAGACATTCCTCCACCTCCATTCATAAGGTGCGGAGTCCTTGGAAATAATATATAACTGGTAAACAGAAATCAGTTTATATGACAAGAGTTATTCATACCAGATTTTGTCCAGGTGAACAAAATCCAGTGAGAATGGCCAAATTCCAACCAGAATGGCAATTCACATATTCAGTCAGAATTTGGCCAGCCTTACCAAATCTGCACTAATTACTCGGATACATTCTTTGTCTAGTTTTAGATCAGTGTTTTATTGCACTTGTTTAAAGCACCAATTTTAAACAAAATCAGGACCAGATGCATCTAAAAGGATGCACGTTCACAAATTACATTTAGAAAAAAAAAAATGTCTGTATGCCATTATGAATGAATGTCTATATGCCATTATGAATGTATGTGTGTATGGATGTCAGTGTCTGTATGTCTGTCAGCATGTCTGTATATGTATGTATGTCTGTAGGTCATTATGAATGTATATGTGTATGGATGTCGGTGTCTGTATGTATGTCAGTGTGTATGTATGTATGTATGTGTCTGTATGTCCTCATGCATGTGTGTCTGTATGTATGTTAGTATGTGTCTGTCTTTCACAATGTATGCCTGTGTGTCTGTATATGTGTGTATGTCTCAGTATGTGTGTGTCAGTATGTTTGTCTGTTAGTATGTATTTGTGCGTGCATATATGTGTCCTTTTGTATCAGTGTGTGTGTTTGTGTCTGTGTGTGTATTCCCGTGGGCGGGATTTGGAGGCGGACCCTGTGGGCGGGAATGGAGGCGGGCTCCCGGGGGCCCTGACCCTGAGCTGAGTTAGGGGCCCCAAAATATCTGGTGGCGGCCCTGAATGAAATTATTTTTATATATATATATATATATATTTATATATATATATATATATATTTATTTTATATTATATAGAATGTAAGCTCATGTAAGTTTTCTTGTAATTGTCCTATTTATAGTTAAATCCTCCCTCATAATATTGTAAAGCGCTACGGAATCTGTTGGCGCTATATAAATGGCAATAATAATAATAATAATATTAATCAAAAGTTTTCATATGCTTTGATGTTTAAAACTGAAATGGGCAAGCTCTTTTTTTGACCCTGTAACTTTCCCAAACACCATGAAACCTGTACATGGGGGCATCGTTGTACTTGTGGGACATCACAACATACAAATATGTGTGTTTTATTGCAGTATAAGCTAACAGTTTCATGACATTCACAGATCAAATGCCATGCAGAACTTGTAAAATATGACATTTCTTAATACCTCACACTTTTTTCGATTTTATACACGTTAGATTGTGTTCTATATAGGAATATTTGATGTGGATTGAAAGAGGTAAATTATGTTTGAACAAACATATAATTCAAATTCTAAGTTTTGATTTGGTCAGAACAATTGCCTCTATCCTTAATGGGTTAAAGAAATGGTTTAATTTGTTATTTTTCCTGAATAAAAAGCAAACCGAACATTTCTCATTAAACCTCTAGGTGTCACTGTAACATTGTTTTTGAGGGTCAGGATTAATTGACATTATGAAGTGCCAAGTATTTATGAATATTAATTAATTCTAAGCCATTGCATGCAGGTGTTGCCTGCATTATGTAACTGCATTCTTAAGTGCATTTAAGCCTCCTCTGTGAATGCTATTTTATCTAAATGAAATGTTAAGGATGTGTTTGGTTCTCAATGGCAGCAATAATAGTTTAAAGATTTAATTAAGCTGTGATACAAAAATATGGAGTATGACTGAATAATTGAATCCTTTTATCCTAAAATGTGATGTGTTTATAATCACTGTGGTCTAAATTCATAGTATTACAGAAAAATAACCGGTTATAATTGGCAGAAATTCATATTACATTTCAAAATTAAGGATGAAATAACCAAATTTGAAGTTCACCAACTAAGTTCTCCTTTTCAGTTCTGCTATGCTGACCTTAAAAAATGTTTAATGTCATTTTAAAGGGTGTATTTATTAAAGTGAGAATTCAAAGTAAATGTCTAATTTGAAGCAAGAGAAGCTAAAGTGAAAGCAGAGAAAGGAGATCTTCAATCAAGATTTCCGTTACACACTTTTTTTTTAATATCTAAAGAATATGATAAAACAATCTTTTTTAGGTAAAGAATCCCACATCTTTATTTCTGTGTTGTAAGTAAAAACGTCTTTCTTCCAGTATAATTTGGTGACCTCTTGTTTGTTTTATATTCCTACTAATAAACAAGTTAGTACATAGCAGTTTGTCCTGACCCGATATATATTTGTATAGTGCTATCATATCCCCTCAGAGGCAACATTTCTCCAAAGAAAACAATAACAGTTTTTCAAGCCTTTCTTCATAACTAATGTTTTCCATACCCCTTGTTCATTGTGTAGCTCACCTGTGCATGTTTCCTATTTCTATAACAGCCTTCTTTAAAAGTGGTGTCCAAAATTGCACCACATATTCAAGGTGTAGTCTTACCATTGGTTTAGAGTTGTTGTTTTTTTTTTTGTGGTTAGGTATGGTCATAGTTTGATAAGTTAGTGGGTTGGAAACACCCAGCCACTCGGGAAGGACACTATTAGTACCTAGGAGATCTGTCATCTACTAGACTGTTATATCCAATATGAATAAAAACTTGTTATCCTTAAGGAGGTTAGCTCCGTTTGGTCAGAGGATGGAGAATCTGCTTGGCTATTTTTGCTCATGTAACTTAACCCCTTAAGGACACAACTTCTGGAATAAAAGGGAACCATGACGGAATATTTCCATCATGTGTCCTTAAGGGGTTAAATATGAAATTAAGCTCTTTGGGCCTAGAATAATTCCTATACCCTTTTGTGGGGTCCAAAGCCATTTGTTTGTGTTTTAACTGCATGCTTTTTTTTCTCCAGATTTTCTACTTTTACCTAAAATTTGTGGTTAATCATACATTCCCCTCAGTCCCAGTTCAGTGACTAAACCTGCATGTTGCATTAATTCAAGAATGTTGTCAATATTTGCATGGATGAGGGTAGGTTTTGAGAGAAGTGATTGATAGGAAGATGGACTTTAAAACTCTAATCATGTCTTCCTACACATAAAACAAGGGTAAGATGATTGTGTTTCTAGATAAAATATATCTTGTTAAGACGCTCGGGATTTTGAAACAGTTCTCTAATTATGACAATTTCCACATAATGATACAACGTGACAAATGACATTATTATACTAGATTGTGTACTGATTACAATGTAAGGTATTATTGAATTATTTACTCAATTATATCAGTGCAGTCCTCCATAACAAAAGACAGAACAGAAACATGAAGAAGGAAAAGGTAACATTTTCATAACTTGTCACCGCAAAGTCACAAAGTAAAATGTAAAAGCTCGAAAGCTCGAAACATTAAAATGGTAAGCATTTTGCAATACTCCAGCAGACCTTGGAAAAAAGTGTCATAATGACAGATTTCATTTGAGAACGAATACTATTGTATCACATCAGTAACAGTTTAGGTGAGGGGGCAACAGGGTAAATGCTGTAAATAAAGGTTCATATAATCTCAGTTTAATCAAAGGTTTGGTGTCACAGTGTGATTTACTAAACACAAGGTTTATGGTTTGGTTTACTGCATGAATTCGAATCAAAATATGTTGGAGGGGCCATAAAAGTGTACCACCCCCCTTTTTTGCCACCTAGCAACACCATGATATAAAACAATAAATCATAGAACTACAGCAATAACATAACTTTGCAAAACTCAATTATGTATGAGCTTCAGAAAGACCGAAAGCAGTATAATGTAAAGTAATGTGCAGTTTGTTTGTAGGGGTATCACAAAGTCCAACTGGTTTTAAAAACATGGTTTTGCTGGCTGCCAGGCACATGTCCCTCTAGCCTTGAAAATCCCTGGCAGCCAGTAAATGCCGGTTTGTGAAGCTAAAGGTGACACTTAAAATAGTCTTACAGGGCACAATCCACCCAAAGAACTCCACTATAGACTCCAACAGAAAAGGCTAAGGCAGGTTTATAGAAGAAATAAAATGGTTTGGCTCACATTAGAGCCTTTTACAAGCCAAATCCATCCAGGGGTTAAAAAGTTAGCTGGAGGTAAGCACATTTTCCTGCCCAAAACAGTTCCATAGATTTGGGTTGTGCGGTCGGTCTATTTCAGGCTGAAAAAACGACTAAGTCCCATCGCCGAATGGGACTTAGTCTCTGCAGCTGTAAAATCATTGTGGGAGAAGGTAGAGCTCAGCGGTGTTCGCAGAAATGTGTAGCCGATTTTAGTTCCATGAATTTGGCTACACACACCGCTGACCTCGTCGAATGATCAAAGATGGCCGCCGCCACGTGTTCGGCAAACGAACAAAGGCCACCCAGCATTGTCAATTAAGCTGCGGTTAACCGCAGCTTCTGGGAGGTAAACTGCCTGCACACTTCCACTTCTGGGTGGTCTGCCTGTGTGGTACTTGGTTTAGTAAGCCCCATTTACTGAAAAAAGTGGGAAATAGCCAGGCACAAAGAGTTTGAAGCAGGTCTGGGGACACAGGGGACACTGTCTTAAAGGGGCAGTGTCCCCAACAAGTCTGGGGACACCGTCTTAAAGGGGCAGTGTCCCCAACAAGTCTGGGGACACCGTCTTAAAGGGGCAGTGTCCCAATCTTCCTGACGCCCCAAAAAGGTGCTTAAAGGGCCAGCACCAGTCCCATAAAGAGTCCATAAGCCCCAATATGCTCACCGACAGTCTTAAAGGGCCATACACACCAAATAAAAGTGCATACATTTTCACAGTCTCCCAGGGGCCATAGTCATGTGGAAGGAGGCTGGCAAATAGGCTTCTCCACAACACAGGGAAGCAGGGCAATTTGCCATTTAAAGGGCCAGTTACAAAAAGCAGTTTGTAACAATAACAAACATACTTTATTATTTTCAAGGAGCTCCATACGGTTGGTTTATCTATGTGTATAACAGAGCTCCACAGCAATAACACGTACAGTAATATGTCTTTAAGCTACAATAAGTGTATTTAGAAATTAGTCTGTGTAAATAAGCTAAATTGCTGTATATTACATTTTAGTAGAATACATTTCCATAACTTGTCACTGCAAATGACTATCAACAGTCTCAGAACAGTACGCCCCTAGACACACTGACCACAATTGCATCCTAAAATTAAAGTGTTCATCTTTGTCCATTTGAAATGTCAGGAGGTATGCATTTAAAAAGGAGAACATTGGAAGAATTAATAAAGGGAAGCCAGCATACCAAAAAGAAAACAGAGGATATTATAGCACAAAAGATCAATAAACAACATTGTCTCCATCATCCTTGGAGTCTGAAAGCATACAGAGTTGTTTGTGTTCTCAATAGTTTCAAGGCCCCATGTGCTGAGGTTTGGACCTCCTGCATTGAACGAATCTCCCTTACTTTTTCATACCTCCAATATCGGCATCCTGTGAGGCAGAATGCTGGTGGACATGGTAAAAAGAGTAAGACTATTGATATAAATTGTATCACTGGTGCCGCCCAAAGGACACAGATGTGCCTG